AAAGACAACAGGAAAAAGAAAAGATTTTCATTTCTATTGGAGAATCATATGCCAGTTTATTCCAAAAGTTAAGGCAATTTGATATGTTGAAGCCGATTCAAATAAAAATGACGAACCCTCTTCCAAAGAATTTTGATTATTCTCAAAGGTGCGCATATTGCTCTAACGCCTCGGGTCACAGCACAGAGAAGTGTTGGCATCTGAAAAGAGCAATTCAGAAGCTTATTAATGCAAGTGACATTATCTTGCAAAATCCAGATGCAGCGGATACTAGCCAAAGTCCATTGTCTGTTCATAATGAGATGCATGAGATGGGCATGATTTGTGTTGAAAATGAAAATGAAAACTCTTTTGAGTTCCTTGGAGGCCACTTGCTGCAAAGTTTTCGGCTCTATCAGTCTCGGTTCCAGAAGTTGATCTTAAGAACGAGTTGGCGAAAGGGACCCAAAAGCAATTTGCTAAGGTCAAAGTGATGGAGACTTGTGAAGGTCCTAATACTGTTGATGCAGAGCTCAGTGGCTAAGGTTTTGAGCTTGGTGATTGGAAAGATGCTCCTTGCTTGGCTAGCTAGGGAGGAGTCTTAGTGGTTTATTTTGTTGTCATTTATGTTGTCCGGTTTATTTCAGGGTTATAATCCGGATATTGTCTTATGACTCAAACCCTTCTATCCCTTTATTTTTCCCAGTTCATTTAGTCGTAGTACCCCTTTTAGTGTTATTTAGGTTTTTCCAGGGTCGTAACCCTAGTGTGTTTTACTTGTCTTGTTGTTCAAACCCTTTCACCGTCTGTCTAATGCAATTTTCTGTTTTCTGTTACTTCTAGTCATTTTTGTTTAATTCTCTTTTCTAGTTCTTTTCATGCTGGCTCTAGTGACATGACATGCACGCATAATTTTAGGCCTGGTCTTAAGAGTTAGTTTAATCATGAAGCAATGAAACAAGTTTTGAAGATGAACACTTGAGGGAGATAAGTACAAATTTGGACATTTTGATATCATTTGAAGCCCGAACTGTGTGAAACTGGGGCAGATAATTTGGAAAGTTAATAGACAAGGCACTAAAAAAAAGTGAAAAGCATATCAGTGATATCAATGCCAAAGCTGTAAAAGAAATGTTGTGTGTGCTCTTCCTTTTTCATTTCAAGTTGCATGTGTTGTACTTGGCATTTTCAGGGATTGGGAGGCCCTCTTTTAGCTACCCAAACACTTATACCATTCGATACCTTTTTGAGCTTGTACTGATTTCTTTGACCTCCCCTCTTTTGGAATCAAGTTAGAGTCATACGAAAAAAGAAAAGAAAAAGTTCATGTCCCTATAGTTTTATTTGAGAAAGTTCATTCCAAAAGGAAAATTCAAAAAAAAAGAGAAAAATAGAGATAAAGAAAAAAAGAAAAAAAGAAAAAAAAAGAAGGAAAAGAAAAAAAATAAAGAAAAAGGAAAAAAGCAACAAAAAGTAGTCTTGTGAACTACGTTTAACCTGATTCTTGTCACAACAAGATACGTAGGCGGCCTTACGGTTCGGTCATACCAAATAAAATATTTCATAATCACACGAAGTCGAGAGTGGGAAATTCCATTAAAAAAAAAGAGGGAAAAATAGATTCAAGTTCCCTTGTTTTAGGAATTGGGGCAAAGTTTTTAAAATGGATTCCAAAAGTTGTAAATAAATTAACCTCGTTGTCATAGTTACTTTGAGCCTTTATGATATCCTTTCTTTCTACCCTTGTCCAAAAGCCACATTACAGTCCAAAAAAGACCTCCCAAATAATCTTTGAGAGTGCTGAGTTTAGACATGCCAAGAGTATATGATGTTTTTACCATGGTTAATGCCTTGTCATCTGCAAAATCAGAGGAAATAAGAAGAAAAGAACAAAATGAGAGAGTCTTATTGGTGAAAACCTTCACAGGTACCATAAGGCGATGATGAGTTGAGAGAAAGAACAAAATAAGAGAGGCTTGATGGTGAAAACCCTTCGGGCACTACAAGTCGAATAAGGATAGTGAATCAGATTGGAAAATCAGAGCATTGAAGCCCAGTTTCACGGTTCAGGGGTATAACAAGAGTTGAACATCAGACTTGCTTGATAGATTAGGCCACAGGTGCATGTCATGGTCATTAGAGTTGGTATCCTCATCTGATAAGTTTCTACTTTGTATTTTTCTTATTAGGAATCATCTCTTTCCATTGTCCTTTACTCTGTTCCTTTTGTCTTATTTACTTCCTCTTCCTGAGTCTGTTTGGTCAGAACAAGTGAGAAATGACTTCAAAATTTGTCATCAGCTTTCCAATTACACAAAACGGGATTTGGCTAGCACATCAAAGTGGCATAAGTAAGGAAAGAACAACGTGCGCATTAAGTTGGTAACAATCAACATGCTTTGGGATTCATGTGAAATACAAAGGTTTGGTATATGTCAATTCATGAACAATGCAACAGATAGAGGATGTTGGGTGAACGGATCAAAGGTATTTTCTGTGATAAGGTTGACAAAGAAAGTGGTTAACCAATGACAAGCAAGGTCTTCCAAGTGAAAATCAAAGTTATCATGGCAAGTGAAGGAGCAATAGACATCAAGGCCAAGGCCAGTGTGTTAAGTCAGGAAATAACAGCATGTGCACTGAGTGGGTGGCAAGTGACATGTTTTGGGATTCATGTGAAACACAAAGGTTCAGTATATGTCAATGCATGAGCACAATGCAACAGATGAATGGTATTGGGTTTGAATGGACCAGAGTTATTTTCCGTGATAAAGGTGACAGAGAAAGTGGTCAGTCAATAAACAGGCAAGGTCTTTCGAGTTGAAATCGCAGTTATCATGGGAAGTGAAGGAGCAACTGCCCTCAAAGTCAAGGCCGCAAAACAACCACCATATTTAAACTCAGAGGTTTTCTATGATTGAAACAGGGGCAGGAAATTTTGTTTGTTCCGGAGAAACCCTCCGCGAGGAAAGTAGGTGCCAGACAGGCTTGGTAGTAAGTTCTCAGGACCCTCTGGATAATGGGCTTTAGTTAAATTTTAAAATCTTCATAGTTAACAAGATTTAGTGTAAGTTCTACCTTTAGGAAACATAGTTTAGCTTTAAAGTTTTCACTCTTAAGATGAGATTTAATTTGAAATTTTCAGGACCCTCCTAGACAATGGGATTTAGCTTTTGAGTTCTTATAGCTCTTTTGATAACAAGATTCGATTAACACTCACAAATATTCCCAATATCAAACTGGGGCAGAAAAATTTCTTTTGTTTTGTCTGTTTTGTTGGAAACCAGGAGCCCACCTGGAGAACAAAGGGAAAGTAGTTCAAGTGTTAGAAATCAAGAGCCCGCCCGGAGAACAAAGGGAAGCAGTTCAAGTTTCAAGAGAAAACAGTTCAGGTGTTGGAAATCAGAAGCCCACCTGGAGAACAAAGGGAAAGCAGCAATGTTCAAAGGAAGAGAGTAATCAAGAGCCCACATGGAGAACAAAGGGAAAACAAGTCAAGTTTCGAGAAAACAGTTCAAGTGTTGGAAATCAGGAGCCCACCTAGAGAAAAAAGGGAAAGCAGTAATGTTCAAAGAAAGACAGTGATCAGGAGCCCATCTGGAGAACAAAGGGAAGCAGCAGTTTTAGAGGAAAGAAAGACAATTCAAATGTTAGTAATCAAGCACTCACCTGGAGAACAAAGGGAAAACAATAATGTTCAAAGGAAGACGGTTCAAGTTTAGCAATCAGGCACCCACATGGAAAACAAAGGAAAAACAGTGCAAGTATTGGCAATTAGGTGCCCACCTGGAGAACAAGGAGAAGGCGGTCCAAGTTTCGAAGGAAAACAGTTCGAGTATTGGCAATCAGGCGCCTACCTGGAGAATAAGGGAATTCACTTCAGAATACAGTTCAAGTCAGCAACAAAATAAGCTCGCGGCAAGAATGCGAGTCAACAGTCTGAGGTGATCAACAGAAGTTAGTCACAATCCAGAAAAAAAAAAAAGAAAGAA